TTTAAAATTATAGCTGATTAATTTTTTGATTGACTTGTTCAATATCTACAAATTTAAGTTTTAAAACTTCATGTTTACTAAAAGAAAATATAACCCAGACAGAAGAATATCTTTGGCTCCAGAAGGAAACTAAATACAACTGTTTAGTTACAGTGGGCCAAATATATTTTTCCCGCCTTTGTAAAACTCTGGGACATGCCAACTCTGGTTTATTAAACATTATTTGATCGCATAGGGGTCTACAATTTTGGGGGTTTCCGACCCACTCACAAGGTCCTAGAATCTTGCCAAGTTTCAATTAAAAAAATAACTCATTACTTCCTGGCGAGGGCGAATGATTTTTCAAGTTCACTTTATTCATATTATCGACCGTTACCCTTGACATTTATGACTCAATTCGATCTCTATCGTTACTCTAACCAAAATTATATCAAAATTAATTAAAGATTAAATTTAATTCAATGTTTACGATAAACACTTTTGTTAAAAGCATTCCACTGTAACTTACCTATGCGATAACCCGTTCGAAAAGAAAGAATAGAAGCCAACTAAGCTATCACTTTACCAATAGCCACTAGAGGCGCTCTTCGAATTATATTTTAAATTATTATAAAAATATTTAAATCTTTTAATCGTTTCGTTAACTACTAATAACAGAATTATGATATTTAAAAAAGTTTAATTCAATTGAATATTTTTCCTCTACACGTACAGCTATTGTGTTCTTAAGATATGAAAATATCAATTTTTTTTTATTGACTTAAGATATTCAAATTCTGTTTGGAGGCTATTGAGAATTTCGCAATTTCAAGTATGGAAGTAAATGTGGAAACTATTAGGAAACATAGTTTCCATATTTTAAACATCGATTTTTTTACACTTTTTATCCCATGGGCGCAAAAACCTTTTCCATGCCCATTATGGGTTCGGCTAGATCCACACTGATGATGGTCCATATGGTGAGAAGGGGACTTGAGGTATCATATAATATTTAGCAACTAAAAATACTGTCTGATAAAGTTGTTATTTATTATATGAAATGGCAATCTCTTAGGATTTAGAGATTATTGGATGTTTACTTTGTGTAAAATTTCTGAAGTGTTTCTTTTAAACATGATATAGATCAATTTGTTCACACGAAACATAATTGAAAATTATGATACTAGGCTATACCATCGTTTTGCATTACCCAACTGACTCCATTGAGTGTGAGGACCAGCTGCTACGATTTCAAGTCTGATTTGCGGTGGTATCAGAAAGTTATGTGGAATAAAGCCTGGTGAATACATACGGCTAAGTTAGTTACGAAACATTCCAATTTGTTTGCAAACCCAAACCTTAGAATGACACTCGAGCGTTTTTACTCCCTCGGCCACGATATGTAATACTTACAAGTTAGTTTAATTCTTATCCGTTTAAAATGCCTTATAGAAGCAACAACAACAACAACAACAAATTTCTTCAAGGAGACAATTTCTATCAGAAATCGAATCCGAATTCTTACAGTAAGAGCAGAGAACTTTCCAAGCTGTTACTCAGATAACTTTATATGAAAAGAAATGAATTTAAATTCTATCCATATTTCTTCTAATGAAAAATAGTTGCTTTATACATTTTCCCTCGGATTATTAGCTATAGATTCAATTATTTTCAAAATGATTAATACTTTTAAAAATATTTAATATAAAAATTTTAACTTATAATTACTTCAATTCTGTTATTCAAATTCGATTTTCAGTTCTTTCTGTCGACTTCTACCTAAGCTTTTTTTCCTAAGAAAGAAAAAAAGTAGGTTAAAAAAACTTAGTCAATAGTTTTTATATACAGTACTTACAAATCAAATTAGTGGTTAAGCAATATTTATTTTTATTATCTTTCTAGAATTCTCGGTCATCGATATTAGCTGTTGGTATCGTCGGTACCAGACAATGAAAAAATGAAAGGATAAAAATAAGATAAAGATTTAAAATAGCTTAATCAAAAAATTAAATTTAAATAACTTAGAAAAATTGCACTTGAAAAAATATAAAGTTCAAATGCAAGTTTTATGACTATTTCTTTGATTGTGCAATCAAATAATCTTATCAGTTTTCAGACGTTGTGTAATGTTACAGTTTCACTTGCGAACATTATCTATCTATCCGTTTAAACTTTGAATATTTAATTTTCTAGAAATTATTTTGTAATACTGTAAATTGTTTTGAAAAATTTCGTTTTCTATTATTGTAATATACTGTAAGTAAAACAATAGTTCGGTAAAAAATTATTTTTATCAATAAATTTAAATAAACTAAAGTAAATAAATATATCAGCAAAATTAAAATTTGCTGACCTAATAAATTTGTAAATCTGTTTATTGTTATTCTAAAATTTTACGCAGCTTTAGCAGAATGTATATCAGTTATGAGCAACCCGCGATCTGGGGCCCGCGAGGTTTTAATTTAATTTGCAATCCTCCAAGCTTTGGCAACGTAATTTTATTTAGGCTATCTATTTTTTTAATTTTTAATTTTTTGTTTTTTTCCTCGTATTGTCGTGTAACCTGATATTCGTGACGAAGAATTTTCAAACTAGACCAGTGTAAAGAATAAACTATATATTACTCGCGTGCATATTATTAGCATATATTATTTTAGTATTTAGTATACTGGAGACTATGCAATGTGCTGGTTAACTTAAGGCTGCTTAAAGGCCTGCAACTTTGTAAAAAACAAATGCATGCGGCCCGCATCCAGAAAAGGTTGCTTATCACTAATGCTTGTTCAGTTTATTCATACATATCTTTTTTTTTTTTTGTTATGGATGGACATTAAAAGGACCTTTTCAGCAATCCCATTATGGATTAGTCCAAATACAATGGAGCCGCCGTATGACGAGAGAGTGGGCCCGACATATCCGGATGGATCCCCTCAAAAAATTCCTGAGGTTTTTCGACCAGTCTAGGTTCGTGGTTTTCCCATAGCGGTAGGCTGCCGCATTAATCGTTCGGCCATCAGGCCATCCACATTCTGGGTTTCAATCAGACCGATAATAGGGCCTTTAGGTGGAGAGAAACGAACACTACATGTCCGGGACAGAACGACAATGAAAAATTTCTGAGGTTTATGACCTAGATTTGAATCAGAATACTCCAAAGTAGCAGGCTAACTACTTCGATCTTCAGGACTAACGTTGAAAGTATGAACTCTAAGTATTTGTTTCTTAGTGTTCATGCATTGAATATCAGTTGTTTATTAATGTATTAACAGGACCGTTCTGCATAATTTTGGCGCCTGATGCAAGCCTAAGAACAACGCTAATGTAATATATTTTTATAAACAAGGTATGATGCCTTTTATTCTTTCCAATTTGGCATCTGAAACAATTACTTTTCCGCCTCATCTATCGATCCACTACTAAACACTGGAGTTTTCCGGGTTTTCTTCACGGTTTAACGCCTAAATAGAGGCTAGTCCATAGAAAGTCCTTCCCCGGAGACACCTCTTGTCAGATCGTCCACGTACTGTGTTGCCTTAGTCCAGGGGTCGGCAGTTTGTCAAGTGAGAAGAGCCGAATTGTCATGAAAACAGGATAACAGAAGTACCAGAGAGCCGCGTATTAATTTAAATGTGCGAAATACGACACACGACAGAGGCGCCTCTAGTGGCCGTTTTCGGCATAACGTTACAAGGATGGACGGACACGAGTTCAATGGGTTATATATATATGTAGATATGCTTCAAATGCTACCACTCTTATGCGACTCATATTGATCAACGCGAGTGTGGTCATGTGCGGACGGAGACGCCGAAGTTTGTTCGGCGGCTCTATCTCATAAACTCATAAGTTATAAGGCTGCGGTGAAATGAGGTGAAATGAAATTGGAGTTTATGTCCGAAGAGCCGCAAACGTCTATGCAAAGAGCCGCATGCGGCTCGCGAGCCGCTGATTCCGACCCCTGCCTTAGTCTATCAACCAACCTACCTCATCTATCAGCATGGCACTGGATATTAGTATGTAAACCACATACGTAGTAGGCTATATTTCAAAAAAACTGAATCAGATAGGAAAAAAAAACTTGTTTTCGTTCCTCGGTGGAATCTGTACTCACGCTCTGAATACTTAATATTCGAGAATGTTCTGGTATTAAAATACATTTTATACATTATGGTTTATACTACGGATACTTCTTATCTATCAATACTTTAGGAATTTTACACAGGATTTTCCACGCGTTAATCGAATACTTTGTCCTTTGCTTTATCAGTAATATTTGTATTACATTTTTGTTAAAAATAAATATAAGAACACAAATAATTTATTTTCGTTATTTGACCTTCTTCGATAATGTTATTTATAGATTTATAAAAAAAATGTTTACAGAATCGTATAACATATTTATCAAATCCTTAAAAATTTTATTTTTAATAATAAATTTTTATCTTTTTGTACGAGTACTTAATGTCTTTGACCTCCGCTTTGATAAGTTCCTATATTAGATTTTTTTATTTCATAATCCTTGGTTATGATAATTCAATTATCTAATGAATTATTAATTGAACGTCAGATATTTTTTTGTCTAGAAATAAAAATATTTAATTATATATATAATAAATTTTACAGGTTATGTAAGTCTGAGAGTTTCAGTCTGCACATAAGTTCAGAACTTTCATTTGGAACTCATACCTAGGAATCCAGATTTAAGACTGAATCCAGTAGTCCAAGATATTTTTATAATTCGTTTTCTAGAATCAAATAAATTATTTGATATCAGAACAACGTTATCAGCATTTGAATAACGTTGAATAGAATGTAATTAATTAATACAGCGAGCAGTGGTTCTTAAGATGTGGAATGTACGATACTTCAGTAAACAGCAACGGTGATACATAGCAGATGTAAGGTGCTATCCAGAAAATTTTTGCAAGTGCTTTTTTCACGAGATAAAATTTTGATTTGAGGAATAACATAAAACATTGGAAAGTATCAACATTAAGTTCACTTATCCATCAATACTTCGTAAATTTATCAAACCTAAGTTGGTCGAGTTTATTACCAGTTTATAATAGAGAATGATTGGGTATATTTTAGTACGTTTAAATAATTTATTTTACAAAAACAGTCAATGTTTACGATTTGTTACAATATTTCATATTTAAAATTTTACAAAATATGTTATGTGAAGCATATACTGAAGATAAGCTAAAGCACAAAATGCATATACGATCAGGATTTTAATAAAAATGTATTGGATGATTTCCTCATCTGCTTGGTCTATTACTCGGAAGAGGGTGTTGACTGCTTACATCGGGAATAGATAAATACGATATTTAGGTTTAATTTACGAAGTATTAATGGATTAATCAATATTAAAATCCGATTTATAGTTTGTGCGATAAGTTCACTGTCACGAGACGTGTAAGTATGAACGGTTAATCATATGTATTTGCTACTTTTTGAAATATTCTTTATATTAATTTGTTAATATTACTCATTTTAAATAGTATTAATTAAATTTATTTATTGAATAGACTGAAAGGATTCACCATAAAGGGATACAAGTGAACGACCGAATTGAAAAGCAGTATTAAAATTCGTTTCCATCGAACTTAATCTCAAAAAAGAATCAATTGTAGAGTTTCAAAGACTGTGAAACATCGAAAATAGAATACAAAATGCCATAGGAAAAACTCAATACTAAATTTAGATCAGCATTAGTTAGAACTGATGAATTTGAAAAATCTGGAAATCAGACAATAACGATGATAATAACGAAGAGAATGAGAAATATTGGAGTTAAACGATGACTAAACTAATGAAGATTGTGATTCTTCTGGTGAGGAATGACTAAATATTTAGTAATAAACAAGTTTTCAAAAATACACCCAGGCTTGGTTAGTCATTAAGCATTATAACTAGGCATATTCACGACAGCATTTTACTCTCAGCTCATTTAGTTTCTATAATTAAACCCATAACTTATTAATGGTATAGAGTAAAAATGATTCTGAATTAAAATTATTTCAGTCATTTTTATATTAATTAGATTTTATAATTTTGCGTTACTAACGTGTAACACAATTAATACACAGTTTTCTTTACAAGAAAGCTAAATGCAACATAGTACATGCGACTTATATTAAATTTGAATAACACTTTTCTCAACATAAGTACAATAACGAATTTCTGCCATAACAAATGTAATTTTGATATAATGCATTTAATAGCAGATAAATACCAATTCGTATATATAAAAATAAAATATAAATTATATAAGCCTATAGTTATGAATTTTATTTGCAGAAATAAAAATTATTGAAATTTAATTATCGGTAATAAATTCTTTCGTTGTTAAGTAGGCCTATCGAAATTTTTAGTAATGAGTACAGAGATAAATTACGAACGTCATTGTTGATAATATAGTGATAAATAGTCATAAAAATTGGTCATGAAAGATACGTCTAGTACACGTGCATTTCCTTTTACATTAAATTATATTGGAACGAAGAAAAATTATTGTGACATCGTCACAATGCCCGGCTGCGTTTTCAATCATGTTTTTAATTTATTTAATTTAAAATATATATTCTCGATCTCAAAATAATAGTGTCCTTCCTAATAACAACAGAGTCATGCCGGTCATCTATGTAACTCCATTCAGGGAAACTTTTTAAATTGAAATCACATAACTTCCGGTCTTCCGGAAATTACGTGAAATAAATTGTTAATCGGGACCTCCTGCCCCTAATTTATTTATATCTGGTCTTGAATTTCATTTATCTAACACCATTCCCGAGATTAAGGAAAGATAGGCAGAAAAACGGACGACAGTGAGAATTTATAGGTCTACAGTTTTTTCAAATTGCAGCCCAATAAGATATTTTAAGTAGGTTTCAAATTGATAAAGGATGTAAAACAACAAAAATTACAAAAATTTAACATTGTGTCTCAGATGAAAAAATATTGAAAAAAAATGAAAACGTTTGCAAATGACCAGAATTTAACTTAGAATTCGAATTTATTCACAGAAATCTGAAAAAGAATGAAGTTCTTTTAGTGAATCAGCAAGAAAAGCTATTCTGCAAGTTACAAAATCATTCATCAACAGGAATAATCAAAGAAAAGTAAATTTAGAAAAGTTAAAAAGCAACAATCCATCTTTACAAAAGACAAATAATTTTTCAATCCCATTCACTGCGGATATTGACATAAAAGAAACAAATTACACAAAATCCTTACATTAAATTCTCGAAAATAAAAAAAATATATACTTGAAAAGTAACTCATTGAACAAGAAAAGTAGGAAACTAAACACATTTTATAATAAATAAAAGTTAGACATAATAAATTTAAACGAAGTTATTTTAAAAAAGTAAATTAGAGATCATTTAAACAAACGACTTTTTACCTGTTAATATAAAAGGAGAATTAAAATTTGTAACTAAGCATTAATGAGCATATTTAAAGTAACCTACTTTTTATATTAATGTATGCAAATATAAAGTAAATTATTTTACAGAAAATAGAGACACTTTACAATATAGTTTTTATAAGAATTCTGTTAACAAAATGTCAAAAAAATTGAAAAGGATAACGAAAATATATCAGAAAATATAGAACATTTTGGAAAGATGAATGGAAAAAATGAAATATTCTGTAGAGAAAGAAAAAGAAACTCGACAAATTGTTCACTTAAAAATATTAAAATTATTGGAAATCTTTATAATCATAACACCGGTATGATAACAATATCAATCACAAATAGATGCTTCAAAAAGTTTGATATAGTACAACAAAGTTTCAATGTAATGTTTATGTCCAGCATCTTAAAATATTTGAGAATTGGAAGAAGAAATATTCATCAAAAAGTTCCTTCTCCGATGGCTTCTTACGTTAAATCTATGAAAGAAATTATAATCAATTGTGTAAGTTAATCGAAAAGTTCGATATATGTTACATGGAGTAACATATATCAAACTTTTTGGAGAATAATTGGCTTCTGAGAACAATCGAATTTATTTCCTTTACACCAATTGCTCAATAAATCAATTTTTCTAGTAAAATTGCAGACATATTGAAATATGACGTTATCAGTTAGAAAGTATACAATTTTTCACAACGTAAAAAAGTTTTATATTTTAAAAAAGAAAATAAATTGTTATTTTAATGAATAGAAAATTTTGTCATTTTTAATAAAACACATCATTACAAAATTAAATAATTGAGTTAAACGATAGGTTTAATCTAGCTTGAGTAGTTAATTAATTCGTAACGTTTTATCGAACAAAACTTGATAACGTCTTGATAAAACAATGATTTCACAACCGATGCAAAGTCTTAATTTTAAATTAAAAAAACGACGATAGTTTTTATTATATCTTACTATAGCTACGCTGTAAGATAGTATCTTGAAGCCGTACTATAAGATAGTGTGGCTATTTTTATAACAAAATAAATATGTTTATACTGTATTTCTATATTTGTGAACTATTTGATAAGAGTTATTAAATATATATATATATATAAAATAACGGCTGCAATGAAATTAAAAATATATTCTACTCTACATAATAATTATATTAGAAAATACTGTACAAGTGCAATTTTAAAATTTCCATAACAAACGATTTTTAGAATTTTATTAGCTTCATAATATCAAGAAAAATAGGTTTCCTCCGTCCTCTTTTTATCGAATATGCCCCCTTTTAAACGTAGAATCGAAGCTATCTTCATATTCTTATGACAGAAAAAAATGAGATGCTGTAAATGCAATATGATAAGAATAAGATTTTGATGTATTGCCAGCTTGAAAAATCTATAATTTTGGGATAAATATTATTAAAGTGATACAATTTTTATAAATGATTAATATTTTATACCGCCCTCATTTACAAGTTTGTTATTAATAAATAATAGTTCTTTCTGTTAAACAGGAAATAAGATACTATAAATAGTTATTCGAATTACTTCTTGGCAATAATTAAATATATTCTTATAGTTTTTTCCTGATACTCTATATTCAAAATGCGATTAAATAAATCTCCATATACAAAATAATTTACAAGAAAATCGAAATATGATAAATGAGAAGTAAATTAACAATTAAAATCTGTAGGCATTTATTAATTATCATTAATTATAATGCTTAATACAACATTATTCGTTCACTTTAAAGTGTATGTTGGCCTAAAAAGATTGTATTTTCCTTATAGAAATATTGGATAATATAATATGAAATATAAAATAAGGAAAAGTTAATTTCGTCCAAATGCATAAATTATATTAAACCAGTAATGTATGTCTTTGAAAGCTGTAATTAGAAGCATATTCTATTTGATAAACAACTGAGAATTTTGTACTTAATTAATCTAAAAACTATGAAATAATCCACATTTTTTTATAAATTCCACCTTTCTTCCAATTTCTGATAGCAGTTTTAATAAAATAAATACTTAAAAATCATTATTACTATCGACTGATTTCTTTAAATATAGTAATAACACTTTTTAAAATTAGAATAATTCAATATTTTTTAAACTACAGTAGAAGTTCGTCAATCCGGAATTGTACAATAATAATTCTGTATAACTACATGTAACGTGTATAATATATTCAGGTAGACTGTATAAATGTATTAAATTCTTTTATTTTTTAATCATTTATATAAATAATATTTATTATAAAGAGTTGAATAAAACGGAACCACCATTGATAAATATTTAATCAAGATAACTCCATTAATCCCGGGAAACGAGATAGAGATTTCGAATAAGAACTATTTAAAGGTTAAAATGAGTGCAAAGTCTTTTGATTACGAAACTAATCAGAGACAAAAATATACCGTATTTATAACCAATAACATACTTAGAAAAATCAAGTAAATATTGAATATATTTGTATAAACTTCGAGATGATAAAATTATTTTTTATATTTATCCAGAAAAATAACGTATGGCGCTCAAGAGCAATAAACTATCAATGTATAGGATACTTGCTTTTGTGAGCTAAACACTAATATATAAAGTCAAATTTCGATTTAGCGCTACTATTTGTTTGCTTCTGGAATTGGAAGTAAATCGAATGTGGCGCTAAACTTAATTATATCAAACAGTAAGAATTAAACTTATATATGTAGTAACGAGGTCTACAACACAACTTTGAGTTTGGGAGCTTGTAACTCATGTCATTCAGTGATAATAATGTCGTTTCCAATGCAGAATCATACGTTATTCGTCAACAAAAACAAATGAGCCAGGCGTTGCTCGGGAAAATAATTTGGACAATTTGGTAAATATTGTACGTTTGGAAATTAAGTTATTACTATTAAAAAAAAATCACGTCTAAAATGACACAGTAGAAGCCGTTCTNTGGAGGGGCCTCGCGCAACAACCAAGTAGAAAAAAGTTGATATTTAAAACTTTTTATTTTATCCTTGGCTATTAGTTATAACAATAAAATAAATTTAATTTATAGTACAGTATATATTAATATTAATAAGTGCCTACTATTTCAATTCACATACTTTGCACAAAGGACAAGGGCCTCGCAAAGTTCTGCCGCCCAGAGCCTCGCTATGGATAAGGCCGCCGCTGGTGAAATGACACCCAACATTCAACACATTAAATCTACTCTTCAGTTAGTTAATTAACTTACAAATAATGATACTGTATTTAGTTCAACATCATTAATGAATTTTATCATGACATTAGGCCTATTGTTTAGTCATTTTTTTATACTAAGATAAAATTGAGATACTAAGATAAAAGATAAAATTCACTCAGCAGTATGTAATTCAAAAAACACAACACCTTAATTTGCTGAGAAAATTTAATGAAAAAGCAAACGTTTTCAGCCAAATCTGTTGGCCATCATCAGGCTAAGATATTCGAATATCTTAATTATTTCGGAATCAGGCTAAGATATTCGAATATCTTAGCCTGATGATGGCCAACAGATTTGGCTGAAAATGTTTGCTTTTTCATTAAATTTTCTCAGCAAATTAAGGTGTTGTGTTTTTTGAATTACATACTGCTGAGTTGAGTGTACCTCAATTTTAATTGAGTATCACCTAAAATTCAGCCCATTAAGATATGAACTAACAAGCAAGACATAAATTATAAGAAAAAATGTTTTTTTTTTTTTTTTTTTTTTTTTTTTTTTTTTTTTTTTTTTTTTTTTTTTTTTTTTTTTTTTTTTTTTTTTTTTTTTTTTTTTTTTTTTTTTTTTTTTTTTTTTTTTTTTTTTTTTTTTTTTTTTTTTTTTTTTTTTTTTTTTTTTTTTTTTTTTTTTTTTTTTTTTTTTTTTTTTNTACCTATCCATACAGGTCTTATAAATTAAAGTAGCAGTTTACTTTCGATATTTTTTCAGCAACATCAGCTTATTCACAGTATTTTTTCTTGTAGCCTACTTGTAATTTTTCCTCCTTATATGCGCTGTTCTGGTGTAGTTCGACTTTCATCTTCTCTAAATTCGATGATTTCCGCCGTTTCAATTATAACTTCTTATTTTGATGATATGAAACCGTGCTTTGCTATTTGTTTATGCTTCTGACACAATATAGTGCTATAAATTAAGACACTTGGCGGATTTTCTCATCTTTATTTAGTTGATACGTGTGGAAAAAATTACACGTTTCGAGCTCTTAAGCCCCTCTTCAGTCAACTATCCATACAGGTTTTATAGATTAAAGTAGCTATCAACTAAATAAAGATAGATTAAAGTAGCTATCAACTAAATAAAGATTAAAGTAATATCAACTAAATAAAGATGAGAAAATCCGCCAAGTGTCTTAATTTATAGCACTATATTGTGTCAGAAGCATAAATTATAAATACATCAAATGATTCCAACTTTTGAAACACGTTAAAGGGTTAATTCAAAGATTTAATAATTTCAAACAGAATATGAATGAGTCTTAATCTACTTTCGAATCTGTATTCTGTTCCAAAATTCAAAAGCGAAATTTTTCGAATTAACGAAGAGCTTTAAACTAAAAACGGTAATTTACATGGCAAGACGACAGTCATCTTTTTGGAAGTACATGACAGGAGCTTTGGCACTGGCTCAATTCGTAAATGGAATTTAGCATTCTTCATTTCTGTATTTCTCAATTCTTATGGACAATATTGATAAAATATTTTATTTTTCAGGTAACTAGCAGCTTGAACGTCAGCTTATGTTGCTTATGCACTGATTACCCGAATGCCGAAATGTGGGCCGTGAGTTGGACCGCCGCCTACTTGTTTGCCGTTTCTTTCTTCAGTGCAATCACTACTACTCTCCACTTGGTAACGGCTATCCTTCGTCCGGGTCCGTTACCGGAGCCATTTAAGTATTCCTATGTGAGTCAATACGTTTTATATTTTGTTTTCTATCAACTTTAAATATCTCTTTCTTACAGGGAGTACTTTATAACTTGATGGCAGGTACTTTGAACGCTTTGTTAGGAGCTGTTGCGGCTACCTTTGATGGACGACGATTTGCTCCCGATCTTCCAGCCTATGCCGCAGCTGGAGTAGGTTGTCCTTTATATTTTCTCGACTAGTTAACAGCATTAAAACAATTCTCTTTGTTAACAGACAGTAGGTTTGGCTAGTGGAATTTTATATGTGGCAAGTGGAGTGATGCTCTTCTCGAGAAGTGGCTCGTCTCACCGTTCCCGTCATTAAACATTTAGAAATTATGTCGAGATTTATTATTTTCTGATGTTTTCCGAATTCCTAATTGTAGAATGGTGTCTTAACTCTTTCTTTTAGTCGATGGAATTTTTCAGTGCATGAAACTGATGAAATGTGAAATAAATTCTGTTTTTATTATATAGATAAAGCATAAACTATTATTCGAATGAATAAACTCATGTATTTTCATGTCTTTAAAATAAATTATTATAATAAATGATTCGTCCACTATTCATATTTAGCTATTTCATAAAATTTTATTATAATTTGATGGAGGAAAAACTCTTTATGTATTATAGCTTAGAGCCACAGGTAATGGGTCAGATATAGATCTGACCCTATTATAGCTTTCTCGTTAGGCTAAATATTACACTAGATTTAATTTCAATTTTGTGCAGTAAGAATCCTGTAGTAAATCCTTTCATATAAACAAATAAATAAAAGATAATTTTCTCTTGAATTATTTGAGGATGAAAAAACTATTAGTTACTTAATATTGTGATTTACGAGAATATTATATTAATCAAATATGAAATCTCAGACAACCTGCATATTTTTTTCATGCTTTGTCGATGATTTGCGCGAACAAAAAAACTTTATCTGCTTTTACTAAGAATATTCAATATAACAACAAAATTAAATTTAGTATAATAAAAAAATATTTAAATTATTAAATTAAATCTACGTCTAATGTTTAACTTATGACATTAAAATTACTTCAGTTAAATTAATTCAATTAAATTCAGTTAATTTCCATGCATGCTTTTTCAGTTCACGAAGTGCATCATAATTATTCAATTAGTCTATTCATCATTAAATATAAATTATCAAACATTTCAGATCCATGAAAGGTATATTTTCATGAAAATTGGACTCTTTTAACGTGGAATAGAAGCACTAATTTAAAATGAATCATTATCAAACGCATAGATTTAAACAGTTTACGATTAGTAGTATCATTACAAAAGGTAACGAGAGCCTGGAATAAAATACATATTGGAGACCCTGTAACAAATTAAATTATTATATTAAAGTAAATATAATTGGGCCCATAATCTATTGGAGCCAAGAATAATTTGCTGTTTTTTCCTCCTCTGGGTATCCCTGTGTCTTAATGCAATTAATTCCTTGAAAATAATTTCTACATAAGCCATTTTTTCTTTAAATAATCATTTGAAACCAAATTACTTATATCGAAGTATTAATATTTTATACGAGAGTGATTTCGAGCTTAAGTCTAACCATTCTCAACGTCAATTTGAAAGTATATAGACCTATTGTACTGTTCTGTATCTCAAATTATCTCGGAAATTTCAAGCCTTCTTCTTAAAGCTTTCTTCAAGATGGATTTCTTGCGAATGGGCAATAGAAGGAAAAGATGGTATCTTTTTTCTTAAATTGTAAACGTAAATAGAAGAGACACACCTAGAAAAAATATTTTTCTGTCATATAGGCAACATTGTAAACACAATTGACGATTGGTTTCTTTATAAGCATTTTTAGTAGAGAATTATGATTTAACAATTGATTTATAAAATAATTTATAAGTTTTATCGTTGATAAAAAGTAAACGGTAAGATCGAATCTTCTAAACTTTTATCTACTTACAGTTATGTCATGCTTTATTTTTAAAAACAACTATTTTAAAAATAAACATAAGTTATTTAATATATATTAATGTTAACAAAGACGTGATTTAAAAAATTAAAAAAATGGCATAACAGAAACGAAGAGAAGATGAAGGAAGATTTTCAATATCACTTTGATAGACGTGTTGTAGCAGCAGGATATATCTAATGCTGCAGGTTGCAGTGAAGCCAGTTTACTTCTGTTCCTGGCTTTTCTTCTCCAACATATTTCCAATGCTCTGATCATTGGGTCTTCTCATCTAGCTGGTGGTCTGCCAGGTTTCTTTTATTATATTTTTAGGATACCAGACGGTGACTATCGATGTCTATCTATTGTCAGTAAAAGGTTACGGGTTGGCCATATCGAAGATGAACAGATAGTCAATATATACAATTCTAAAGATTTTGTGGTAAAACACGTTAAACCTGTTCACGTTAAACCCTAAAACACGTTTGAATGGAAAATAGCCTGTGTTTTGGAACAGTATAGCCCTAAGTATATTGTTCCAATATACAGTGTATATATAGGCCCGTATATATAATTAGATAATTAGTTAAAAGTACACAGTTAATGTATATATATATATATATTATATTATATTATATTTATGTTTTTATATGTATAATATAATATTTAATTTTCTTGAAATGTACGTGTTTCCAAGATTGTGAGACTCGAAATAACGAGAGTCACTTATTTTAAGTCAGTTATATGTTATAGTTGTCAAAATTGGTAACAGATGTCGCTGTCCGTCCACTCGAATTATTTTCCGTTTGACATTGACACTTTTACCGTTCCTAATTAAGAATTTTTACAGATAAAAAAATTTATTACACCAATTATAATTACAACGATTAAAACATTTATACGTTTTAAATTTTTAAAAAACATATTTAAAAAATAATTTTAATTTAAACTAATAAAATTTCACGAAGAAATTGATAAAAAAAAAAGCAAGAAAACTATTAAAATTAAGATTTTGTATTTCTTTAGATCAAGTTAAAATGAAATATAAAACGAAAATTTTAATTTACATTTCAAATATTTAGAACTTAAGACCGAAACCATATCTAAATATTTTATAACGCATGAGATTTGCCTGTGAGAGAACCTGTGAGATTTGCAGAACTAAAGGCGTTTTAAGCACTTTTGAGGCTCCCGGTCCAATTTCTTAAAAGGCATAATATAGATATAAAAACAGAACAAATATATTATTAATGAGTAGTGAGATCAGGCCCTAAAAAGGCGAGACTCCCGGCCATGATCGGGTATGCTCATGCGTTAATGCATTCCTAATCATTAATGTTTCAAGAATCCTCTACAGTAAAGAGTTTAAGAATATTTCCCGATAAAGAAAGAAATTGTCTGTTGATCTGTATCAATTTAATATATAGGCCCTAATCTAAAAACATTTCTTAAAGGAATAAATAAATTTTATTTCATTAATTTGTTTGCCATATCTATCTCGTCTATAATATTTCGGATCATTTTACAAAGTATTTTAATGCAAATATTAGAAAATACACGCGGGCGTATACATCACGACCAAGGCCTTGCCCTGCTCATCACTAATATTTTTGTTTTATATTTATATCTGTAGCCTATAATGCCACTAAAGAAATTCGTTCGGGATCTTTAAAACGGTGCTATATTAGCTTCATATAGCAGCGTTTTAAAGATCCCGAATGAATTTCTTTAGTGGCATTATAGGCTACAGATATAAATACATTTTATATTTATAGTGAGCCTAAACCTGAAAACCTGCGAAAATGTAATTCTGCTAGGATTCTGGATCATTTAGAAAGCAAAGAATTTGATGATACAGTCATACTTTAGAAATTAATCATGTAATTTTTATTATTTTCTCCTTTTGTTTTCCTGTTCTCGAGAGTATTTTACAGTCGTATCAGATTTTAGAAATGAAAGAGCAGAGCTTCTGCAAAGAAATTGCAGAAGTTTCCAGAACTTAATAAAAGTAGTAAAAGAAATGCGAGATAAACATAAAGATTTAGAGTGATGTATTCCATATCCGAAGAAAAGAATTTGTCTTTAACCAATGATAAAAATCCGATCAGTCGAGAAAGAATAATCGACGGAAAGCTCAATATAGACAAAAAACAAACTAAAGTGCAAAACATTTCTGGGGTATCATTTGCTGCATCCATATTTATATCTTATCCGTTCAGCTCTCGTCCTTACATTATCTATCTTCTTTGATGAGACAAAAGTAGTCTACATAAGATACTGAACTTATATCATTTCCAAACGATTAAGTCTTCTATTCACAGATTATACTAAGTTGCTCTTAAATTATTCCTGATTTATATACAAATAAATTATTATAATAAATAAATTATATATATAAATAAATTGTAAAACATTTCTTAAAATAAAATGAAATTTCTTGATTCACATTAAACAAAATGAAGCATTGTGTTTTTAATGCGGTATAGAAACCTTAGCTCAAATAGACTCATCAAACATTTCTTGAGGAAATGAGGGAAGATTCGATTTAACTCATTTATTAATTTTGCAAATTTAAGTTTCTCACAGTCTTCCCCTTTTTCTACTAGTCTCCTCTTCTCGAGGAATTCTCTAACTCAAAGTTTCTAGTAGTCTTGAGGAAATCGTCAAGAGTGACAAGACTATGAGAAATTTGGACTTAGAGAACTCCTTGAAATGATAAAGAATACTAGAAGAAGGAGAAGACAACGAGAAATTTGGACTTTCAAAATTCAGGAATGGATTAAATCAACTTTATCAGATCTAACAAGAAAACGAAAGAAGAAACTGAGATGGAGAAGTTTTCGGTTAATTATCTCCTTAGGCTGCTTCGAAAATCAAACTAGACTGTAGTGAAGAAGTCTCGGTCTTGCATCTATAGTTAAATCGTGTTCAAACTATGGAAAAATGCTCCGAAAAGAAACACGAGAAAGAAAGTACGATATCTATAATAACGCAACCCTAATTTCAAAATATGTTAAAAGTTTAAAATTATTTTACAATATAACTTTTTAAAACTACTTAAATTTTTTAGCGTGTCGAATTGTTTTGCTATTGTAAATATCTTCAAATAAATATATATATGTGTGTGTACTGTACAGTACATACTCCCAAAGTGTGACATATCTGAGCTTTTGAGACTTGAGAATAAATTTTTATTTTAGAAAGACAGTCTGATTTAAGATGAACTCTAGTATAAAATATAGCTTCTTTATAATTTTTTAAAAATTAATTTTCATTAAACACCATTTTTAAATCTTAAAACTTTGTAATGCAGTCATAAGTCACACAAAGAAATCTTTTTATGGTTCTGTGATGGAACTAAGCTGAACATAATCATGATGTAACCAATTACACTACTGAGAAAATGTTTTAAATCACAATATAACTAATTAGAAAGTGATTAAAATAATTAAAATAGCAATAAATAAATTAGCATAATATAAGATTAAACATTAAATAATTGTGATGTAAGCAAAGATTGATGCTGCGCTTTGTCTTTAGATTTATGAAGTACCTTGACGATTTATCTTATAAAATTTATATTTCAGATATTAAATCCGTAAATGATCACTTTGGTTCCAAAAATATATATTATATACAAGAGGAAATGCAAGAGGAATTAAAAAATCATGGTCATACCAATATTACTCTAGTTCCTAGAGAAATGAGATAATACTTTTTGAATTCCTGAAGAAGTTTTGAAAAGTATCTTATAATCTAGAACCGTTAATCTTCGAGACATTTTATAAATTTTTTTTTTTTTACTTTTCTCGTCTATTTTATTGTAGAAAATTAAGTTATATAACGGACAAAAAACGATTTGACATGGCGCCAACTATTTTAAAGTGAGTTTTGATCAATTTCCTCATCGAATATTTCAAGAAAACTGCGTTTTCTCTACAGTATTTCGTATAGTGAATGTAGATAGGTAATTAATAAGATATAGCCTTATTTAAAAATAGAGATTATTTAATATTAGCTTAACTAGTACTAGAGGAAGTTACTAAGTCAGGATAAATTCTAGATAAAAATATATAGACTTATTATCACAATATTAGGATGTGTGTTGCCTCTAGATATCGATTCCAGTTGATATCTATTTTTTATTTTATTATTTTTTTTCTTTTACTTTTTTCGGTGGAACCCATCACAAAAGTGTCACTTATGGAATTTTCATCAGATATGTTCCAGCATCTTCCATTGTTCGCTTTCTCAACTGATTAAAATCTTAAAAACTGTCCAACAAAGTTGTATTATGTCGACATCTTTCAACTAAGTCTACCTGATGATAAATTCCATGCTTTTGAAAATACTACTACTACATTATATAACGTGCTATAACGTGTAAAATTTACATGTTGTTAAGCATCTTTAGTAACAGAATTTTGATACGAAGCATTTTATTTTTATATTTTTTAATAATAACGATATTATTTTATTATTTTTTGCCCTGTGATTTATAGCAGAAAATGTAATTTCGGTTCTAAATTTGTATTTCTAATTGTCTTAAACAATTTAAACCACTGAATTTATGCATGAATTTGATTTTAAGCTTTAATTTATAATGTTTCTTTTCGATAACTAACTTAAACATTAAAGCTAACTTCACTGTATTGCATATACAGAATGGTTTCAAAAGTCGGTAAACCGAGGTAATAAAAAGTTAGCTAACTTGGTTAACTGACTTTTGCGCCAGCCTGTATATAAAAAAATAGTACATTTCATAAGATAAAGCGTCAGAAATGCTATTTTTTTATGATTTAAAAAGTACTTTTTATCAAGCGGAAACGTCAAAACTCTCCATATTTTGTATTCGAGAATATTTTGTTTGTATTCAAGGGAAAATTTTTCCGAACAGTCGGCCTATAAAATTGAATTATGATACGAATAACTTGAAAACTTACGTTGTAACTTATATTGTAATATTTATCGAAAGAATTTCTCCATCCAAACAATTTTTATTTTAAAAAATTAAATAAAAAAGACAATTGTATAGAAGTGAAAACCACACTGAAGATCCATATAATTATCAAAAAACAACAATAAAAAAACATTAAAGTAGCCTTGAACTTTCTTTAATGGATTCTTAACTAGCCGTAAAATGTTTAAAATGTTCTTTAAAATTTGGCACATTTCGAAAAGTGCATCTTAAAAACAAACTATTAAAAAAAATAAAGGCTAATTTTTTAAAGTTTCGGCGGTATTAACTATCAGAACACATTTAAATTTTTAATATTTACTTCAGAAAACTAGTTGAAAATTATACATATCATTTCACCAATTATTAATGTAAAGGGTGGACCAAAAATCAGTTAATTCGGTTAACCGATTATTAAGCCATTCCAATATCGAGAATGAGTTATATTAAAGACTAGCTATTACCCGCGACTTCGCCCACGGAGGTTTTGCAAGCAAACCCCATTTATATTTAGTATTTCAACAACCATAGTAATTGTTATATAACACCGACCGCCGAGAATGATGAGAATTGCTGAGAATCAAACAAACTATTGATATTTTGAATTTGATCAATTTTCTGGAACGTTTACAATCGTTCTATAATTTAAAAAGGTTCGAACATTTGGTTAAAAAATCGAAATATATAAAAATATTTATAACAATGTCTGAAATATTATTAATTTAATACACTTAAGTACTTAATGAAGATTAAACGTAACAAAAAATCGCATTTAAAATAGTACAGTAGAAGCCGTTTTTTCCGGTTAAGCCTTAATCCTCTCTGTCTCCCCCGCGGGGGAATTTCGAAAAATCCCTTCTTAATGTGCATTCCCATGGTATACCCTACTAAAACTCAGATAAAAGCAAAAAATCGCATTTAAAATAGTACAGTAGAAGCCGTTTTTTCCGGTTAAGACTTAATTCTCTCCCTCTCCCCTCGCGGGGCAATTTCGAAAAATCCCTTCTTAGTGAGCGTTTTCATGACGTACCCTAACTGTGTACCATATTTCATCTCTTTAGGTTCAGCGGTTTGCTCTGGGCGATGATGAATCAGTGAGTGAATGAGTCAGTCAGTCAGGACAAGCAATTTTATATATAGGGGAGACCGGGGCAAGATCGGCATGTTAAGCTTTACTTAAATTTTGTGTAATAAATACTGCTGTAAACTGAAAAAAAAGCTTTGCATATTGTCTATTGGAATGTTACCTTACTATAGAACTGGTTAAAATCAGTTTGNAATATTCGATCTTATGCGGAATTACATATAATTATAAGGAAGAAATTATAATTAATTTATCTATGAAATGCTTAATTTTTAAATTAAAATATATTTTTATCATTATTATAACACGATGTTCGTTTTAAAGTGCTCAAAGTAATAATTAACAGTAATTAGAGCACAAGTGGAAAAACTAGGAATTTTTTTCATTTTTCGGTAACGCTAGAGTTTTATTTTTTTTATTTTTTATTATTTATTTTATATAAATGACTTTCAATATATATAACTTGTAATTTACGTTCTTGATTATACATTTATCAAGTTATAATTGTTAATTTAAAAAAAGTTTCAACACAAAAATTATAGTCACGTCCATCGTAAACACAATTAACAATGTTTCGGCTTGTTAGAAACATAAATCTTTGAAATATTCTGCAAATTAGTTAATTTTTATTTATTTCAATATAATTTCCAACTAATTTAATGATTTTGCCAACTAATAGCGCGCAATTTCAATTTAAATAAGTTTTTTTTTCTAGAGTGTCTTCGAATTTTTTCTATCGTATTTTCATTTTAATTAGTAACAAAATAAATAGCAACATTTTTTAAATAAATGAAATTATATTTAGGATGACTCAAAATTCAATTCACCGTGTTTTTGTTTTGTATGTTTCAGATACACTTGTGAATATGAATCGTAACTGAGTTAAGAACAAGGTGTTTTTTTTTCTTTCTTTCACAGAATTGATGGAAGAACTGAAAACGTAATTAAAAATAATTAATATTTGACTAAAACTCTGTGTACTATTTTACAGTGGTTAACTGAATTATGGATCACGCTGTATATGTTAGTATAATTAAAAATATATTTAAATTTTTTATAATCTATAAAAATCTTTTATAAACATTTAATATCGTAATAAGTTCCTATTCTTCGATCTATGTACTCAAGAAAACTTTTTAAAATTGTTTTCTTTATCGTTTTCTAGCATCTTCTTATATTTTTAAAGGGAAATTACTACTAAATCTGAATTTTAAATACCAGTTATATAACGTGAAATAGAAAAACTATCATTATAATTTAAAGACGATGGTTTAAAAAAAGTTAAATTTCCTAAATGTTAAAGTGTAAATTTAGAAATATAATATATCATTATCTTCATCTTCCTTCTGATCCAACACTTTGTTAGGTCAGGTTAGTCAATCTTTCAATCTTCCCACAATCAAGAAATGTTTATCCAAAATAATAATAATAATGTTTTGAATTTAGAACTAAGTAATTAATTAAAAGCAAAAAAAATTAACAAAATAAATTTAAGTATAAAGATTTTAATTATATAAATCTAATTTAAGAGAGTGGGGCTAATCTCACACTGTAAATCATTACCATTAATCTCGTGTAGTAAGAAAAAATAAAAAAAATAAAAAAAAATAATAATAACATAGTTTCAATATAATTAGAATATTTCATTTATTTATTTGTTGTTATTTTATTGTATGTTCTACTTAATATTCAATAATTTATGTTTTTAAATATATCATATAACTGCATTCTTTCCACAATAGGCATCCAAGCATTTGCGCTAGTGTAATTAAGGTTTATAGTAGCCTAATATGTACATAAAGATATCGTTAGTTTTTATATCCAAGTTGAAGTGGCAAGCACGGAGAATAAAAATAAAAAAAGTTGATCAATCAGCGATATTTAAACCTCATCTAGGTCAAAAATATGTACTTTTATATCATTATAACGTTACATAATCTTGATATTTTTTAATAACTTATCAATTAATAAGAGCTTTTAATTCTCTCAAATTATAATAAAATGTATAGAAGCTAAAATTTAATTAATGTTTTTGTTAAAAAACGAGAAAAATTATCGAGAGATGGCAGCATGTTAAGTATCATTATCATTATCAGAAATACACGTGTAGACACTGTTATATATTTAAAAATCTACTCAATGGTTAAGTAAAAGAATCTTTATTATCTATAAACTTCTGTTTAGTTTTATGAGTGATTTTATAATTGCTAGATCCTGTTACTAAATGTGCTAATTTCCTGTAATAAAGAATCGTCTCACGTCAAGTCGTTAAGATAGCATTCATTTACGCAAAACGAGTCGTATGTTGATTAAATAAACTTTCTATGCAATAAACCGAGTAGTTAGAACTACGCAGAACCTATATTCTATCAATAATTATTACCCTGAGTACTTTTGAAAATTGTCCCTTTATAGTCTATCTTTTATGATGGCGTCATGTACAGTGATATAGTAGGCTTGTATATCAGCAATATCGTTTTCGAAATGAATCTTATCGATGCTCTTACACACTTGCTACAGATCAACAAACGCTATTTAGTCCGAAGTTCGAAAATATAACGTGTACTTTTCATTTTATTGAGTTATTAACTAATGAAAATTTCTACGAATTGAGCCCTACGTAGAAAATATTTTATGTAACAGAAACAAAATAAATTACTCCCATATCATACATTATACAGCATATCTATCTAGTTTAATTACGATTTACTATACTTAAACTAGTTAAGTGTGAAATGAAACGTGAATAGTTTGAGAATGGAGTGCCATAAAAGATCTTCCAGTGCTCCAACTGTATCAACTTGTAACTAATTTTTGATCATTTGAACGTGCAATAATAGAAATAGTAATCTAAATAAATGGCAAAAAGTATGTATAGTATAAAAATAAGGCCAATTCTTTTATTATATTCAAGACCAATTTCTATTTTGTGAAGTTCCCTGAAACCTCTCTTGAGATTTGAGTTTCTCAAACTTTTTTGCAACAGTTCTATATGCAAATTGTGGTGAAATGTTTAAAATAACGGAAAATCCTAATTAAATGTCATAATAATGGAAAATTATAATTAACAGTGCATAATATCATACACTTTTTAAAATTTCAGTTTTTAGAGTCTCGCAAAGTGGCAATTCTTATCTGAAATTTGTACAGTTTTATCAACAAGAAATGTTATATCAATATAAAATTATTAAATTGTATAATAATGTTGTTACTTTCTGTAACTGATATGCATTTTTTTTCTTCTTTTTAGATTCATATCAAGTTCTCTAGAGATCTGAAGATCTATAACTCGTAAAACACTCGTGTGAATCCGAAGGGAGTTTCAGTTGGGTCCAAGATCCCCATAGCAATTTATTGCAAACAGTTTTCGTTTCTTCTCGATATAGCATTCGATCCTAAAGAAAATTATTCGAAAAAATTCAAATTATTTTAAAATTTTCATAGAAATTTTTATATAATTTAAAAAAATTTATCAACTTCTTATCGCGAAATGTAGACTTATATATCACATTTATTTTTAACCGCTTCAAAATTAATTTTAAATCATTTATTTTACAGTATTGTTGCAATATTGTTTCTTGCGCAATTTAATATAAATTGCAAATTGATTCGAGATATGTATGCAAACAATTATTTACAGAGAAGAAGTTCTATGTTTCAAAATTGTGACATTGGCGACTCGAAGACCACAAGACCGATCTAATTGATTATTCAGACAATTGTGCAAACGTCAGATCGATAAATAAATCAAGGTCGTTACTATATAAACCAATTAAAATGAATCATTTTCGATTGTTTACGGGGTTATTTCGTTTCTTATCGTAAACGTTATCGCAACGTGGAGATAGAGCGCTATTTATCTCGACAAATTTGATAGTTCTGTAATTGTCTGCAACTACTCTGTCAAGCGAGAACTTACCTTCTGTACATGTATTTTTAACAAAGAAATCTTGTAGTGCATCCCTTTCACAGGTACGTAACTTTTTATATGCTTGAATTTTTAATGAAAAAATAAATTATGAAGAGCATCCCTTCACAAGTATGCAGCTTTCAGCCTACAAGAATTTGCAGATTGCATTTTTTAAAGTTTTAATTACCGATTAATACTAGTAAACACGATTTTAATGATATGAAATATTTATTTTAAGTATATTTAATTATTTTTACCGTTAAAACTGTTTATTTCTTTTATTTTGTTAAAAAATTCTATTGTTCTCGGATCGGAAATAGAGAAAGTATATAAAATTGTATTGGATTGATCAATGATAAGCTTTGTAATGGTAAATAAGCATTCATTTATTTAATAATTTAATAAAAATATGCTTTTATCGAGAATTCTATTTATATAATATAACATATCGAATTTTATCATGACTTTTGCTGATAACTAAACTGATGAGACGAAGCCGAAACGTCTCTAGTTCATATTTACTCGATTAACTACAGTACTTCTTATCTCTAGAATGTCTAAGAATTTTGTTACGTAAACAAATTTAAATCTAAAAGAAATGTATTAATTATTCTTTTTAAAATTTGTTTAGATAATGAAAGCTTCAAATTTTGTTACATTTCTTGTGATAGTCGCATTCGTTGTTGGTTTCTGTCCATGTTTAATATCAAGTGCCCCTTCTTCGGATAACGGATTCAGAAGTGAATTGTGTAAAGTATTATGCAATAAGAACCCACCAGAAGGAGGAAATTATTGTAATTGCGATCGACATCCTTTGGGATAGATTATCAAAGAGAAAAAAAGAAGAAAATGAGAGAGTAGGTGCTATATATTCTTGTAGATCTATAGAATAAATTACTCCAAATATATCTTAATGTTAACCTAATCCTAAGGCTCTCTTAAAACATCTTTAGGATCTATTAACAAAATNTCTAATTTAAAAAGGTTCGAACATTTGGTTAAAAAATCGAAATATATAAAAATATTTATAACAATGTCTGAAATATTATTAATTTAATACACTTAAGTACTTAATGAAGATTAAACGTAACAAAAAATCGCATTTAAAATAGTACAGTAGAAGCCGTTTTTTCCGGTTAAGCCTTAATCCTCTCTGTCTCCCCCGCGGGGGAATTTCGAAAAATCCCTTCTTAATGTGCATTCCCATGGTATACCCTACTAAAACTCAGATAAAAGCAAAAAATCGCATTTAAAATAGTACAGTAGAAGCCGTTTTTTCCGGTTAAGACTTAATTCTCTCCCTCTCCCCTCGCGGGGCAATTTCGAAAAATCCCTTCTTAGTGAGCGTTTTCATGACGTACCCTAACTGTGTACCATATTTCATCTCTTTAGGTTCAGCGGTTTGCTCTGGGCGATGATGAGTCAGTGAGTGAATGAGTCAGTCAGTCAGGACAAGCAATTTTATATATAGGGGAGACCGGGGCAAGATCGGCATGTTAAGCTTTACTTAAATTTTGTGTAATAAATACTGCTGTAAACTGAAAAAAAAGCTTTGCATATTGTCTATTGGAATGTTACCTTACTATAGAACTGGTTAAAATCAGTTTGGAAATAAAAATAATTAAAATAATTACAACTTTACAAGAAGAGAGAAATTGACGAAGTTGCCCCGGGTATAGGGGCAAGATCGGCAACTTCTCTCTTTTTGTAAAGTTGTAATTATTTTAATTATTTTTATTAAAGTTGCCCCTGGTATAGGGGCAACAGTAATGGGGCAAGATAGGCACGTATATAAAATTATGTTATTAACAATGTATAAGTTGGAATTCACTATTAAAACAAAGAAATACAAATCCAACACCCATTTAATATTATTACAACGAAATGCAAGTTCAAAGACATATATACATGAATAACAAATGCAAACATGTTTTCATTTATCATCTGTTTGATTTTTATCCTTTGCTTCTAATGTGGCTTTATGTTGCCGATCTTACCCCGCTAGTCATGATTTCGAAACATTAAGTACAACCCTGAGAACAGAATGCCAAGCCACGATCTGGCCACGTGAATAAGTTGAAGTTACATCCTTCTAACAGGAAAAGTAACTTTCGTTATCATGGAATTATAACAAAACCTGCCAATTCAATATAAATGGAAAAAAAATATTATATGGAATTGAACGAAAATGAAAATTTGCTTGATAATTCAACTACGCTTGTTGGAGAACAATAAAAACACTACACTCAACAAGCCACCAATAAAACTCAACTGCCTAACCTATAACCAAAGTCTCCTTTTAATTTGTTTTTAAAAAAAAGCGCTTGACAAACTTGCCCCGCATGCCGAAGTTGCCCCGGTCTCCCCTATAGATTATTCAGTTTTAATGTGGTTTCATGGCTGAATTTTTACATAAGTTGGAACAAATTACTGTTCAGGGATCTAAGAGAAACAGTTTAGGGCCTCCTGTTTTAAATTTATTGTAATTTAATAAGGGGAAGGGAAAGACCTCTTATATGTTATAGCTTACAGCACTTTACCGTTTTATTTCTATTCTTATTATTTTATCTTGAAATTTGTTTTCTGTAAAAATATATTAATTATTAATTAAATATTTAACTGTGTAAATTCCAGAAGATATTAACGATTTTTGTAATTCTAAAATTCGTGAGAAAATATCTCTCTTTTCCAAGAATTCTGAAGATAAATAGTACATTTCATAAGATAAAGCGTCAGAAATGCTATTTTTTTATGATTTAAAAAGTACTTTTTATCAAGCGGAAACGTCAAAACTCTCCATATTTTGTATTNGAAACAGTTTAGGGCCTCCTGTTTTAAATTTATTGTAATTTAATAAGGGGAAGGGAAAGACCTCTTATATGTTATAGCTTACAGCACTTTACCGTTTTATTTCTATTCTTATTATTTTATCTTGAAATTTGTTTTCTGTAAAAATATATTAATTATTAATTAAATATTTAACTGTGTAAATTCCAGAAGATATTAACGATTTTTGTAATTCTAAAATTCGTGAGAAAATATCTCTTTTCCAAGAATTCTGAAGATAGTGAATGATCACTTGGCATTAATACGAAAAATTCTTTCTTGAAATACATTTTTATGTTAATTAAATTGCTGAATTATTAATATTTTTAACCAAATTTCTGTAACTTGAATAATTTATAAATTTTTATATTATATAGAGAATCTTTATACGTTTACAAATGTTAATACTGTAAATTATTTCTAAAACTGAAAACAGATATGACGATTATAATGTGATAAGATAAGAAAATATTGCATTGCTTCTGCGAAATTATATAAGTTTATCATGATATTTGACGTATAATGTTTTCATTTCTGGCAAATAAACAAATAACATAGCTTTTAATTATTTATATGCAGGGTGGCCCAAAAATCATTTAACCAATGTAACCTAAATTGTCGTTTTATTCGAATACTTAATTATATTTTTGCCGTGTTTCCATCAATTTTATAAATGAAAAACGCGTTGTTTTGAACTCAGCTTATGATTAATATTTATAAGCATAAACCTGGGACATAAAACAGATAACTAATCTTTGGGTCATCTTATACACAGTACCTGAGAGAGGTGAGACAGGGTTTGAACCCATCTTTTTCTCTATTTACCAAAATAAAATTTAATTTTTATCATTTTCGTGCCATGGTTTTGCATAGAATACAAAATTTTGGGATCTTTCTATGCCTGGAATCCAGATCAAAGGATCTTTCTGGCATGCTCTATCTGAACCTGTCTATGCATATTTGTGTATATGTAAGCTAAATTTAAACTTGATGGGCCTTAATCTGTGACGTAATCTGTAATGTATAAAATAAGTTACTGTAATCTCGTCTCTTGAGGCCTTAAGCTATGGGTTGTTGAGCTTACGTGTAAATTTGACATTGAGTAGATCTATATTAGAATGAGTAAGATACTTTTACAAATAATACATGGAGCATGTAATATATAACTCTAGTCAATATTATTTTATACTTAGATCTTCTAGCAATTTATAAATATTTTAATGTATTTTTTCGAAGAACTTTATAAATATAGGGGAGATCGGGGCAACTTCGGCATGCGGGGCAAGTTTGTCAAGCGCTTTTTTTAAAAAACAAATTAAAAGGAGACTTTGGTTATAGGTTAGGCAGTTGAGTTTTATTGGTGGCTTGTTGAGTGTAGTGTTTTTATTGTTCTCCAACAAGCGTAGTTGAATTATCAAGCAAATTTTCATTTTCGTT